ATGGGGAAGGTCGGTAGCGAGATGAGACGGTCGGAGGTACGCGATGAACACGGGCAAGATCCCACGTTCCCGGTCATCCGAACCAACACCGAATCCATACAACAATCGACGCAATTCTTCTCTCTTAAAAGTGGGTGAGTCGAGGGAAGATGATGAACTTTAAGCTTTCTCCCTTTGCGGGGGCGTCGACCGTCCGCGTGGACGCAGGCGGTTGACGTCACCGGTACGGTCCAAGAGCGATGACTATCAGTTCAAAAAGGAAGGCGAGAGAGAGAGAGAGAGAGAGAGAGAGAGAGAGAGAGAGAGAGAGAGAGAGAGAGAGTGAGTTACGCCGAAACCGCGAGCGAGCGCAGAAAAGACCACTGAGGGGAGGGGAACAACCGGATCAACACACTCGTACTCCTAAGCAGACGGTCCCCCAGTTCAGTTTCCCCATCCCCGCCCGAACGAATACATACACACATACATGCATGCAATCAACAAATTGTGACAGGACATCTAATCATCCATGGACCTTCGACATCACTCGTGCGCACCACCAGCTCCCATCACTCGGGGCTTCACACACACGACATGCATAGACAAAGCAGCAATGGAGATAAAAGCGAGTCCTTCTTGTACACAAAAAATTCAATTAATTGCCGCCCCCAGGCGCAGCCTTCAAAACTCCCTAAGACCACCGACCACCATAGCCACAAGGCCCTGCCGCGGCCGGCGTCCAATCCCCACCACTGCTCCGTCCCTCTGACTGCTTCGCCCCGAGACTACCGCGGGTCCACCCCACGTCATCACTCCGCCCGTCCTTGGGCTCGTCGAGCCTGTTCGGCGCCGCGGACTCTCTCGCATAGCTCGCACAGCATTGCAGCCGAGATAAAAGAGAGAGGGAGGAGAGGGTTGCACAAATTTATAGCGCGGGAGGCGGCAGGTTGTCAGCGCGAGGTGCGGGCAGCGCAGGTTGTAGATGAGCAGGACAGGAGGAAGGTGGGGAGTTAGAGGGTTCGACCCGCGGGATGGCATTGTCCTATGTGATTGGGGTGTCCATTCAAGTGGCGCGCGGTTTCCCGCTCTCCACATTGATCCGAGCATCCCAACTACGCAGCCAATCACTTCGCGGGATAAGGATCGAGCTGGGCGGAGGGGAAGACGAAGAGCCCGTCGTGGGGAAAATGCGCGCAGCAAGAAGGGAAGATGGCGCGAGGAGGCAAAGCAAGAAACGGGGATGCGAGACGCGCGAAGAAATCGGAGCTTGGGCGCGCGCACAAAAATTCAAAAAGTCCCAACCGTACCCGTTTCTTGGTTTTCATACCGCGGCCGCTATTCGCCCGCGGAAGTTATTAACCAAACAAAATGAAAAAGTCGTTTCAAAAAGAAAACAAAAGCAAAAAGAAAGAAAACCCCTTTCTATCCGCGTCCGTACTTCGGGGCTTCCGCGGGATTTTTCCTCAGGGATACGGCAAGCCGCGCGGTACGGATCTGAGCTTATCACATCTGTGATACGCAGGGGGTTCCAAAAAATTAGAAGTCTCCCGACTGCTGATATCATCATATTTTGGATGATCGGGCGGCCTCTTTATCGTCAGCTGGCCCGATCATCCTCCTAATCTACGTGGATGCATCCTGCATCCTCCATCGCCTCCTCCCATAGTATACATCCGATCGGGCGGCCCCTTCATCGTCAGCTGGCCCGATCAGTAAATTTTTTTTTTTTTTTTTTTTTTTTTTTTTGGTATATGCAGCGCGTCTCGATGCGCGAACTTTGGAGATAGGAGAAGAAGAAGAAGAAGATGAAGAGAAGGAGAAGGACAGAACAGGGGAGAGGTAGACGGGGGTGATCAGAGGAAGTGATCTATGTCGGGATTGAGAGGGGGCGGAATAGGTGGAAGAAAAGCGGCCATTGCCGCGGGAGTCGCCGGCGCTCCCTCCTCATGGAAGTGATGCTGGACGAACGAGGGGTAGAGGAAGGCTCCCGGCACATGGGATAGGACACGTGGTGCCAGATCTGCCACTGCTCGCACCACCCGCTTGCGCACCGATCGGGGCCCCGGACCCGTCATCACCACATGAGTCTCGGTGTAAGGTCGCCGCTCCCGCTTCTGGGCCGCGAAGACCAGGAAGTGGTACATCGCATTGGGACGCTGCCCGGTCTCGTAGATGAGCGTCCCAGCCAATCGCGCCGCAATACACCCTTGAAAAGGGGGTGTCAGATATGGCTCCCATGCCGGATCAGGGCGCGACGCCCGCGCGATGGCCTCGAGCCTGATGGTGGCGGGCTCCACCATGAAGCCCACCTCGGTCGGATGGACCGTTCGGCTCGGATGAACTACTAATGTCAATGACCGGGGCACCCCGGGGCGGCTGGCGGGAACGGAGAGGTCCTGCGAGAACGGGGGGTCTGGATATGGGATCCGGTAATCCCATTCGGCTTCCTCCTCCGGCTGCTGCTGCTGATGATGGCCCGACTCCATCAAGGTTGAGATCGGGCACACGCGGAACGGGCGGCGATGGCACGACAACCTCCTTAACAAGCTTCGCCGCACTCCCAGGCGCGGGGTCCGGGTTCCGCCGACGTGCGGACTGAATCACCTCCTCGCTGCCGCCGATCCTGCTACCTTGCGCCCCTGGCGATGGGTGGCGTCTCTTCCTCTTCGGCGTCTTCTTGGGGGCCTTCGGTGGCGCCGGTCGGGGATACGACGAGGGAGGCCGCAACGGCCTTTCCTCGGGGAAGTCCTCCAATCTCTCCGCGCGCTGCGCAATGTGATCCGGGATGACGACCGCGTTGTACGTTCTCCGTGGGGCCGTCGCCGTCCGCAATCGCGGTTGGATCTCCTCCTCCTCGCTCGCGATCACCTGCGCAATGGAGAGGAGCTCAAGGTGTATGAGCTCCAACAATCCCGGATCGATCGTCTGGAGCTGGGCGAATGGGTACAGCGCGACCGTCCCTTCCTTCTCCGCTGGCTTGGGCCGCGTGATGACGTAGTAGACGACGAAGTGTTCCCCGATGCAGTGGTCTTCGTGATCCACGAAGAACCGGAACATCCCCAGCGCCACCGACTTGTACAGCGCACGGTGCAACTCGCACGCATCTTCGTCGGCAAAGGGCAGCGGCTCCACGTCAGTTAGCTCCACCAAATACTTCGAGAACTCGCGCATGGGATAGGGGCCCTCCGTGAGCTGGTAGGGGAGGGTGGTGTAGGAGAAGAAGGGAGGCATTTAGTACGGGACAGGGGGAATAGCTTGGAAGTTGAGAGGAGCAGCGGGAGGGAGAAGCGCGGGGAGCTGCGGCACCAACGCAATCGGTCCGTCCTCTGCCCTACGCAGCAGCACCTCGTGGGCTGTGAATCATTGTCCCCCCCGTCCTTGCAATCTGGCCACTGATCTGGCCGCTTCCACCACGTATTCACGCAGAAAGCTGCGCGCCGGCTCCCGATTCGGCTGCGGTAGGATCGTCAAGTCTCCGATGAAGGTGGCGACGCTGTGCACGAAATTGGGTGCCACCTGGAGCGCGCAGAACTCAATGAATACTCGGGTCGTCTCCCGGCCGGGCAACTGCGTCACGTCCATGTACACCCCCGCATACGTCAGCCGATCGCAAAGCAACGAGTAGGCCGCCAAATCCGCAACCCCGGGCGCCGGCACGTTCACCTGCTGAATGTCGTACCACAACTGCCTCTCCTCATTGAACCAATGCCGCAACAGGCGATCTGCAAGCGGCGTCTGGAAATGCTCGAGGGGCTCATGCTCTGGCTGGCGATGGTTCATCCTGCTCCCTGAAACTCTCAGCACCAATGGACGAGGCAGATCGGGAAGAGGAGGAGGAGGAGGATGAAGAAGGAGAGGGTGATCTCGCAGGAGCGGGGGTCCGTAGGGGACCTAGCGATGGCTGGAAAGGCCGGAGCACTGCCGCGTGCCGTGTCAGCGGTCGGGCCTTGGAGTTGTGACGGGGAATCAGCTTCACGGAGTGCTGTCCCTGTGCGCCAACTTCCGTGACCTCGTAAATGCCTGTATAGAGCGGGTGGATCTTGGAGGAGCGGGCAGATTTCCGTACCTGCACCAAGTCCCCAACTTTATAGCGGGGCAGTGGTCCCGCCGACGCGTGTCGATTCTCGTAGTCACAGATCTGCCGTTGATGTGTCCGATCTACGGCCTGCCGTCAACGGCGAGCTAACGGGGGATAGGCCCTAGCCATTAAGTCCATGTAGTGGCGGGCCTTGTCTCGAGTCTGGGCCCGTGTTGCTCTAACTTTCGTACCTACTAAGGGGGACAATTTCACCCGAGGGACACTATTGGTTCTCAGTTGAAAGGGGGACACCCCAGTACTACCGTGTGGGGTAGCCCGATAAACGGCCAAAATGTGGTCGACAATGACCGGCCAGGGTCGGGTGTCTCCCGCAGTGATATTCCGTCTAAGGGCCGTCTTAATCAGTCGGTTGGCATTCTCTACCAGGCCATTGGCTTGAGGCCAATGCCCCCCCGAGTAAATAATCTTAACGTCCGCCCTGACTAGGTGACGTTCTACTTCGCCTTGAAATTCCGACCCATTGTCCATATGTACCTCTTCTACGTCTAGATGCATGCACAAAAATCGATTTACGTACCAGGCTACTTCCTGCGAATTCCGGCTGGTCGTAGGGTACGCCTCGATCCATTTTGAAAAATGATCGACGACCACTAAAAGAACATTGAGTTCTCCCTGATCGACGAGCCCTCTCGGAACGTTGATATCCGTCGTATCGATGCTAACCCTCTAAAAGGGGCGCTCTACACGAGTGGGCACCATCATCCAAGGCATCTGTACCGGTGCCTTATCCGCCGCGCAGGCTGGGCAATTCTGAACGATGTATGTCACATCTTCCCAAATTCCTGACCAGTACCATCCGTTCTTTTCGATGACTTTTTCCGTGTACTTGACCGCGAAATGGACCGCATCCTCCTCATGAGCGGCTCGTGTCCAATCGAACCTAGCAAGAGGGTGTGGAACCGTCAACAAGCTAGACTCGCCGTCGTCATCGACCTTCCGTTTTTGTAACGTCCAGCCCTGCCAGCGATAGTCCTGCGCCCGCTCCGTGACTCTCCGCCATTCGGCTTTGGTAAGTTTTGATAGTGAGTCGCCTGACAGTCTCCGTAGCAACAGGAGGTCCGTTCAGGCTTCTGCCCGGCGGGCACTTGGCGCAAATCCGTCGACTGTTCTAGCGTCCAGATACCGCTTCTCAGTAGGGACTTGGTCCGTTCTACAGTTGGGACAGACCCACGTCTTTTCACTTCGGTACCTAACGCACTGTCCGTGAGATTTGACCGTATGACACTGACTACACTGTACCCATAGAAGAAAACTGGGCCCTCCCGGATGTGACCCTTCTTGGTCCGGGATCATAGGCAAGGTACAGAAAAAACAGGGACTTAGATGTGTTTCGGAGGACGAGTTGGGGCTAGACGAGAGAGCGAGGGAGTTGGATGAGGGCAGAGAGATAGCGTCGGCCATCTCCGATGAAACCTCCATTCCGGACTCAGGCGTCGTCCTTACGCAGCACGTGTAGCTCCCCGTAGTGCGGTTTCATCGCCGCGACTTCTGGCCTCCACGGAATGAGTCGCTCGTTGGTGGGACACTTGTTGGGCGCCAGAAGGCGTGTTAATCCATCGGCGTTACCATGCTGCCGCGTGGCACGGTGGCGGATGTCGAAGTCATAGTCTTGCAGACGCACCGCCCACCTGCCCAACGTCCCCGTGTAGTCCGTGTTGCTGCGTAGGGACAGCAGCGGCTGATGATCCGTTACCAGCACGAATTTATGGCCGTATAGATACGGTCGGAAGTGTTGAATCCCCCACACCACTGCCAGGCATTCGCCTTTGCATGCTTCGTAATTAGCCTGCGCCTGGCTCAGCATCTTGGACGCATACTCAATGACGTGCTCCCTTCCGTCCTTGCCGTGCTGAGTCAGCACTGCCGATATCGCCTGAGGCTGCCAGTCTGTGTACAGTGCGAACGGTATTGTCGGGTCGGGGCGCGCCAACACAGGAGCAGATGTCAAAGCCTCCTTCAACGCCTGAAACGCCGCTTCGCATTCCGGCGTCCAGATCAGCTGTTCCTCTTTCTTCAGTAGGTTCGTGAGGGGCTTCGCTATGTCGGCGAACCCCTTGATGAAGCGTTGGTAATAGGATGCCAGCCCTAGAAAAGCCCGAACCTGGGTGAGTGTGACCGGCGCCGGGGCGTCTTGAACTGCTGCCACCTTCCTCGGATCCGATTTTAGTCCATCGACCGTGACGATGTACCCCAAGAATGAGATCTCCGACAAGAAGAACTCGCTTTTTTCCAAGGCCACTTTGAACCCCGCGTCTTTCAGTGCATGCAAAACCCACTCAATGTGTTCCACGTGGTACTCGTGTGTTTTTGAAAAGACCAAAATATCATCCATGTACACAATCACGCAGAAATTTATCAGGGGCTGGGTTAGTCGGGTTTTGTTAACGAACTCAGCGAAGGCCATATTCATGGCCCGCTGAAACGTTGCAGGGCCGTTACAAATTCCCATGGGACACCGGACCCATTGCCACGTGCCCTCAAATAGGACAAAAGCGGTTTTGGGTCGGTCCTCCGGTCGGACCACGACGTGGTGAAAACCGTGTCGGATATCGAACTTGGAAAATACTCGAGCGGCCACGATGGCATCCAACAAATCGTCGATTCGCGGCAAGGGATACACATCTTTGGTAGTGATAGCGTTCAATTTTCGATAGTCGATACATACCCGAACCGGACCATTTCGCTTTAGCACGAGGACCACGGGAAAAGACCATGGTCCTAGCGATGGTTCGACCCACCCCAACCGCTCGAATTCCCGTACCCTTTCCAACGCCAGCTGCCTTTCTTTAAGGGAATATCGGTACGGTCGACAATGTATCGGGGCGTGATCCCTGGTATCAATCGCGTGCTGTATCAAAGGGGTTAGCCCTATGTCGTGGTCCTGAATACTGACGGCCTCAGGATAGGCCCGTATAATTGCCAGGAGGAGGCGTCGGTATTCCTCCGGAACACGGGCTGGTAACTGAACTTCTACGGTTCCCCCAGGAAGGGAGACCGTCGTCGTAACTATGGGGACCGTCGCGCTGGCCTCGGGCGAGGCCCCAAACAAAGAGTTGTTGGTTTTTGCCGAAAGGACAGTCGCAATAAGTTGACTGTCCGCCAGACTCATCGGCTCGCTTTCCATGTCACTATCACTGTCCAGTTCGGGTTCGGCCGAGGGTGCTACCGAAAAGGTTTGTGCCAGTTCCCTCGGACCCCACCGATACTCCCTTGTTCGGGGTTGAAACGACACCCCCTCTTTCAGGAGTATCGCGACTTTTTCATTCGTGAGTAGGGGCCGTGGGGGTTGAAAAGATAAATCGCACAGCCCCCTCAGCTCGGTAAATCTTTCAGGTAGGGGGTCCGTCCTGAGATACAAGGATGCAGGGGGTTCCGAAAGGTCAGCTATTCGGGACACCCTCAGCAGGGGCTCCCCTTGCACCACGGAGGAGAACGCGTGCGACCAATTGGACTTGCTCCGAACTATTTCCAGTGGTTCTCGCCGCCAAGAATGGCGCCACCGATCCTGAACTCGGATCGGATATCGGTCGAGTACATCAGTCTTGTCAGTTTCCGTCGAGGGTTCATTTTCGCCTGGTGACAGGCGTCGGATCATGTTGATTTGATGGGCTTTCGTGGTGAGGCGAGGCGCCGGCTGGGTACGCATGCGCACCGCCAGTCTCATTGGTATCGTTTGGGGTTTGGGGTGGGCCGATGCGAGCACCACCTTACAACTGTCAAAGTGCATTCGTGCTCCGACCGCCGCCTGCCACAGAATACCTAGCAGAACATCATACGCCTGTACATCCAACACGATCACGTCACACAAACAATGCACCCGCCCCACCCGTATAGGCACGTTCGTTATTCGCCCTTTACAATGAATACTGTCTTCCGTAGCGGATATATACATCTCATCCGGTCGGAGGGGCTGAACCTGTCCTTACCTTCCCAATTGTTTCGTCAATCTCCAAGAAATGGCGACCGCCGATGATCCCGAGTCTAGGATGGTGGCCGAGGGGTTTCCCCAGACCTCGCAGTCACACTCAACGCTTTTCCAGGTTATAGGATAGGCTCGGAGGAATACCTCGGGTTTTTTCGAGGCAGAATCTACGGTTTGGATCATTCCTATCTGGTCGGTTTCGTGCACCTTTGAGGTCGTGGGCTGCGACTTCTCGTTTGTGGGTAGGTCCTGTAGGACCGACTTTTTGCCCTTTTGACTTTCCTCGAATCGACGCCTGTTTTTGAGGCACCGTTCGATCAACTTTTCGTTAGCCGCTTCGGAAATGGTTAGCAGATAGGGAATAGGGACGGAGATCTAAAGATCCAGAGCCTTCA